CACCATTTCATCAGTTTCTCGAAGGGATTATCGGTTACTTTCATAAAAAAAGAAGAAGAAAAAAAATTTATTTCATCAAAATATAAGGATCGAATTCATTATCGGGTTTTAGTAAAGCCAATTAGTATCCAATATTCTAAATCCTTTAGAACACTATTGATTATTTTCCCAATTCAAAAAATATTTAGCAAACAAAACAACTAAAAAGTTCAATGCCGATATATATAAAATGAACCCACAAGGCCAAGTAAAATAATTATGGTCTGAAAAACAGAATAACCACTGACACGACAATGTAAATAGAACAAGTTATCACAAACCTTAGCAACATCCACAAAATTGTGCCACTTAACATTTGAAGAACTAAGTTTAAATTAACCTAAAGCATACCAAAATAAAATCTCACAGAAGAACAACACATTGTCCCACAACCAAGGGTAAAAAATCCCGAGTAATTTACTTCTTCTTGCCGGCATCACCAGCCTTTGTCTGCAAAATTTTGAAAAGAAAAAGACGGCATCCATAAGGATATGGAATAAATACTTTTACGATTATTTGATTTCTACTATATTAGAATATATACAGAACAGTAAAGAAGTAGCATTCTTATTGAGACTGATAAGTTGATAATAAGATGATAGTAACAAAAGCAAAAAGTGATGGTAACAAAAGTTATGGAGAAAAAAAGGAGATTCTTTACCTTCTTAACACCACGGATTTTCTTGGCTCTGTTCTTCCTTTCTTTCATTTGCTTCCTTGACTTCTCAACCTTGGTATCAAGACCATTCTACACACCAATATTCCAAATAATATCTCAGGCATAAGTATAATAATATCATATCATATCTCAAACACAATACAAAATTGGGACATTTAGCATCATCATTGAGCTTTTCTGAATTTCAAACATTACAAAGGTGAAAAGCCACCCAAGTGACAGATTCATCATTCAATAATCGTTATGCAATGTCAAATGCAAAATAGGCCATCTCACATAAACGTAACAGAAAGCTATATCCATTGCAAAGTTCAGGCAGCATAATTAAAAGAAATGACATGGATACCACTAGATTGATGCTATAGCTCCACACAAAGTTGCTCAGAAGAAATCCACGAATTTGACAACTTTTCATATTTACTTAAAATCTCAAAAAACATGTTGAAGAAACACATTTGCGGCTTCATATCACGGTTTGAAATTCAATATAAGAAATCATGTCACGATACATGAATTAATCAGATAAGAGTAACAATCAGGTTTTGCACATCTTGAAGAGTACACAAATAATACATGGACAAATGACTAGTTACCCTGATAAGTCTGTATTTAGGCTCAAATTTCTTCGCACTCTCAACAGAATCATAAATCAAACCAAAGCCCGTAGATTTGCCTCCACCAAAGTGAGTCCTAAACTTGAACACAAAGATGGCGTTCGAATCTTTAACCTCATACAATCTAGCCAACTTCTCCTTCAACTCAGCCTTCAGAAAAGAAGAATAAACAACAGTGAGTAGACCTCCAGTCCACAACCCCACCATTTTATTTTGACTAGAGATCTTAAAGAAAACCAAAAATCATTAACAGACAACTTATTCACTTATAATGGCAGTTAGCAAGTTCCTATTTTTATTCAATGCCACTATTTATTTCACGAACATTTTTCTTCTTTCAACCGAAATTTATACAGAAAATACAGCTAGACTAAATTCATAAACGTAGTAAGCTTCTAACAGCAATATAACGCTGACTGCAAAGAAAAAAAAAAATCAACCATTAAAGCTTCAAAATAACAAAATAGAGCAAACCTTAGAGACGTTCGCCCTTCCTGGATGCAACACGTCAATGATCTACAAAATCGAACAGCAGAAAAAAAAAGGGTCAAATGAATCAAAACTAAGAGCATTAGCTTTACAATTAGCTGTTGAAAATTCTTAAAAAAAAAATTGAAGGATTTATTATAAGACATACAAACTGTTTCCTCGAGAGGAGACGGTTTGTCATGAACTTCCTCGTCCTGATAGTTACTGCCTTCTCCGCCATTTGCCTGCAATAAGAAAAAATATATATACATATATTATCTCTAATTCAACCCAATTTCGATCTGAAGCACGAAATCTCCTCGTTCATTAGCTTGCTCAAGATGAAAAATGAAATCAGAAAATTAAAAAAGAAGAATATTAAGTACGGTTTTGTTTAAGACGAATTACGCCGTCGGCCGGTGATCTTCAGAGGCTCTGGGCTGTCACTCTCTCCGATCGCAAGGCGTCTCAGATGAAGAATTTTAACATTAGGGTTTTTGCAGCAAATGATATGCAATGTGGGGTTTGAATGGGCCTAAATGGGCTGGCATTGGGTTTATATTTTTCAGCCCAAAATGTCGGCTGTGTAAGGTACAAGCCCGAGTTGTATTTTGTAAGGTACAACACATTGCATAAAAAACAAAAATTGTATATTTTTGCAAGTTCAAATGAAAATTTTAAATTAAATTTCATTTAAATTTCTCACAACAGGTGAATTAAGATGATTTTATTTAATTTTTATAAAGCAGGACATGGATATAAAATATTATATAAATTAAACTGATTTTCGACTTATGGTCATGATATTAAATTATACAAAATTACAATAGTAGAGATGAATAACTAAGGGCTTGATTGTTTATGAATTATTTTATTTTCATTTATTTCATATTCAAAATCTAACTCAACTCCATTATCTTTAATATTATTCATTTAATTAAATAATACAAATCAATCATTCTTACACATCACATCAACTTCAATTCACTATTCATTCACTCACATAATTTTAACTACCAATCATTTTCAATCATTTATCTCCTACTTTTATATCAAATCAATTTTAATCATTTTATTTTAAATATTATTATAATACATTCTTAAAATTCCACTAACAATTAACCATATCACCTTTTTCAAAATTAATTATAGTTAACCAAAATAATTCATTTTGAACAAATTATTTCATAAACAATCACCTCCTAAACATACCTAATGATGAAACAGCTATATATTTTAATAAAATATGCATATTTTTAAGTTATAATATTATACCTTGAAAAATAAAATAAAATAAAAAAATAATCTCTCATAAAATAAATATACATTTCGTTTAAAAAATATATATGTACTAATATAATTATTTGGATTTTCGGCAGTGACTGGTAATTGGATTATCTATGGTTCAAATTTAATTGGATTATAATTTCAAGTTAATTATTGTTTTGTTCCAATTGTCTTTGTTTGGAGTTTGGACAATAGAGTTCCATTAATTATAATCATTGCCACACATTTTCGAATTGGCTGGTAATATTGACATGCAATGTTGTATGATATATTGATATAAGTTAAAAAGATTATTATCGGTTAACAAATGCACTAGCATTGAAGTTATATTATTATAAATTATAATCTCGTGCTATAAATGAATGGATCTGAGCTTGAGTTTATGATAGTCAAAGTTTGAGCTTGAGCCGAGTCAAAATTGGCTTGTCAAATAATCTAGTCAATAAACGAGTTCGAACTCAACCTATCTATTAAAATTACCGAATTCATTTTGGAGTTTCACGAATCGAATTGAGGTAATTATAACTCAGAAAACTATATAAGAAACCATATTTCTCGACCTTAACAATCCCTACGTAAAAAGCAAACACCCTCGAGTTAGAGATAGTAACTTACAAAATCACATAGAAACCTTTATTTTTCGATCTACCGTGTAAAAACAAACATTGCAACTCCCTTTATCACTAAAATATGAAACTAATATCAAGCTTATAATTTAAACAATCATATATTGGCAATATTTTGTGCAGATACAGGACAACAATGAATCAGAGGCACATCAATTTTACTCCAACTTCCAATAACAAAACAAACAAGGTAAATAAGACCCAAAATGAAGCTAGATTATNTAAGAACCAATGCATGAAATGAAACTAATTTAAATAGAAAGAAACAATCTTTATCGAAATTACGGGCTCGTTTTGTCGATCTGAGCCTGCCCCAGAACTTCTTGAAAGGGGATAGAAGAGAATGAAGCCATCCCATATCAAGAAAACTAAAATAAACTTGGGTTAAATTAAATTTGCTGGATTTTAAGTAAAGGTTAGAAAAGAACTTAAAGGGGTTTGAAGATTTTTTTTTTAACCCAAATCACTTTTTCATTAATGTAAATTCTAATCAGGCAAAAACATGTTGTAATGAAAACCTTCTCTGTTTTTTCTTGGTGTGATGTCATTGTCAAAATCAAAGCACAGCCTTTTTTGGTCCTTGTAGGAGGAGGTAAAGTTTAGAGTCCTTCACAACCAATCGACTAATTTAATACTATATTGTGTGACTTGATTTATGCAATTATTATATCTTTATTCAAATTTTCATCCAAGTCAATTTACCTCTCCACCCATTTAATCGTTTGGATAATTTGGACACAACCACCATGATTTTTTTTATTTAATTATTATTTTTTTCCTAAGTGGAAAATACACATCTATTGCTTTTAAATCCGTACATGAGAGTTGTAGAGTCTGATACAAGAATTTATTAAATTCTCAATCTTTGACAAATTATGTGACTTGTGTTAGGAGCATTTTTTTTTTCCTATAGATACTTATGACTTCATACAAAAGTGTCATAAGTTAAAATTAATATAAGTAAAGTAAGTCTTTGTATTCTCCAACAAGGCTCTCTTATGACAATATTGAAACTTGAAAGGCTATCTTATGATAATATTGCATTTTTTTTTTTAATTATTATTTATAACTCAAAATATGGACAGTGGTTATGGTGATAGGCATTGCAAGTAAAGGCCGTGGCTATAAAATCGCCAAATTGGCCACTTGCCATTTACTCACTGGTTGGCTTATTCTTGAAGCCTTTTAATTTGCATGATAATCCACACACTTAAGGTGCAAAGATAAATTTTATTTGATAAAAAGACTGATGAGTTAGCTTTTGAAATGCAACTTGTTCTTTTATAACCATTGGCCTCATTCATTTTGAAATTTGAAGCAAACAGGTCAGAAAAAGGTGTTTGCTAAAGAAAGGAAATTGATATTATGAGGTTTTTGATTGGGGATTATTGTGAAATGCTATTTTCAATAATAGTTTTGTTATAACGTCATGATAACACGATTTATTGAGGCGTGTTCTAAATAAAGTATATTTGATAAATGTGTTAATACATCGATTCATTATGACTTTATTGTACAAAATAAAATGACTCTATAAGGGAGTCGTTTTGTGGTTATATAAAAATATTTGTTTTCAAATGTTAGATTGGATGATAGCCATCATATAATAATTGGGCCATTTTTGGCATTGCATGTGGGGAGAATTTTATATATACACAACGATTTAAGAATAATTGCAACAATACCAAGGGTTGCATTTAATTGCAAACTTACGCATGGAATTTATTTGTGATTATTCAAGATGTCAGTTATCCCAAAAAAATAGATCAAGTCTCCTTAAATTGGGGGATTACAAATAGACCACGTACTCACCTTCCTACAATCACGGATCTTTAGAATTGTATTGAAAGAAAAAAAGGTAAGTGTATATAACATACAAATTAGGAACCTAGTCAACCATGTATATTTCTTTCAACGTTTTTTTTCGTTTCTTTTTTTTTTTTTAATTTTTGCAATTTGTCTTAATTTATTTTGTATATTGTTTGTATATTTACAGTATATAAAAGAAGTTGAAATCATACTCATGTACATATACTAAAAGTATATTGTCGACCTTAACATATACTAAAAAACAGTATATCTTTCGAGAATATATACAAAAGATATACTCATTGTATACAATCGGCATAATAGAAAATACACAACAGATAAATCAATCTTGTCATTACATACACAAAATATATACAGAATATATACAGAAGATATACAAAAAGCACATTAGACCGTAAAAATTCAAATTTCAGAAATTAATTCCTTCCTTCTACACACCCAATTCTCTATATCCCGTCATCCACAAGTATAGCCGCCAGAGTCCATTGTCGCAGTTGTTTTTTAAAGAGACGACAATGGACTCTGGCGGCTATACTTGTGGATGACGGGATATAGAGAATTGGGTGTGTAGAAGGAAGGAATTAATTTCTGAAATTTGAATTTTTACGGTCTAATGTGCTTTTTGTATATCTTCTGTATATATTCTGTATATATTTTGTGTATGTAATGACAAGATTGATTTATCTGTTGTGTATTTTCTATTATGTAAGGACAAGTATAGCCGTCATCCGACTTCTAGCCCGCGCACGAACACTTCTTTTTTCTTTCTTTTTTTCTTTTTCTGTTTTTAGTTGCGATCTCTATTCCGGCCCACTTCGGCCAATCCAGCGACCGTCATGGCCACCACGACACGAACCCCGCGGCCTCCGGCTATCAGCCACAATGACTAAGCCACCACCACAGACCACCACCTTCTCTTATGTTCTCTTCTCTTCAGTTTATTATTCTCTTTTTCTTTTTGTTGTTTTGATCGCAGGCCCTCTCAGAGCCACCTTGTTCGTTTTCTCTGGCGTGTGAAGAAGAGATAGAAGCACGGGCCAGATGAGAAATATACGGGCAACGAAAACATATACTGAACATATACTTCCTATACACGAAACATATACTGTCGATTGTGTTTACGGAAATATATACTGAAAAATATACTGTATATATGTGCAACATATCCTAAACATAATAAATCAAATGAAAAAGTTCTCAAAAAAACTGAGGACTGGGGAGAATGGCGGTTAGTAATTTTCAGGCTTTGTCTTTGATAACCGCAGCAACAAATCGAGTAGCCGAAATCAGAATCGGTTTGTTGCTGCGGTTATCCAGTGGAATTAGGGCTCAATTTTTCCAATCGAGAGGCGATATGGAATGCGGCTGAACCTGCCTGTCGCCGCGAGAACACGAAATACTATCAAATCAAAAACAAAATCCATAAAAATTCTAATACAAGATTATGAAAAACAACAAAAAAACATGAAAGCAAACTACTTGGATCTTTGTCTCATCTTTAGGCACTTCCTCTTCAATCTCCTCATGCTCTTTTTCTTCCACTATTTATATATATATATATATATATATATATATATATATGCAGGGTATACAAATTGCAGCAAAAATCAATGGAATCAAAATTAATTTGTATGATATAAATGACACATGGGCTAGAGATGATTCACTTTCGCTCTCATGGTGAAAGATGAATTGCTACTGAACAGTGACGTCGCCAAGATCTGAAGAAAAAGAAAGGGGGAAGAAATTGGGGGAAGAAGAAAAAAATGAAAGTGAGAGGTGAG